GTAACGATGATGGGGAATAGGCGAAAAAGAAATGAATGAATGTGAAATAACGAATGAAAAATAATATTGAAATATAAAAGGAGCAAATGAATGGTAAGAAAATATACAAATACAAATATATGTACATACATACATACATATTTACCTGCTAAGAAACTGGAAAAATAGTAAAGAAAACCAAAGACTTAACTGAGAATGTGAGAAATTGCGAAATGTGCATTGAGTGGCTTATGTAGAAATACAGCGTTATTCATTTTGCGGTTTCAAAAATATATGTAAATAAAATGAATTTAAAATATTTTTTTTTTCACGAAAATGCTTTGTCGTTACAAAGTTTAAGCCTTGACATGATATGTGTAACCCTACATCATTCAAATAAGCGCCTCGCGAATTTTTGCAAATTTTTATTCCGGTTGAGATTATTTCCCATCACTTTTTGGCACATATCGCGTGATCTCAGCCAAAACTTGACGAATGTTGGCTCTTGAGTGCTCGAGAGTTAGAGGTTTATTCGTATTAACACGGTCTTTGGGTTAGCTCCACAAAGAAAAGTCCAACGGCGGTGTCAAAACGCATGATCTGGGTGGCCAAGCCGGAAGATTACGCGGCCGAGAAACTTGTTCCATGTTCACTTGTATTGTGTGGCAGATTGCACCATTTTGTTGAAATCACATATTCTCCACGTCGAGTTTTTCAACTGTGGACCAAAAAAAAGTCGATAATCATACGACGTTTTCAAAGAAGTGAAGTCCGAACACATTTTCTAACCAAAGAGCGCACCAGACAGTCAGTATTTTTGGGTGTTGCAACATCTCTTCAACTATTTGAGGATTCTCGATGCACCAAATGAAAGAATTTTTCTTATTTACATATTCCAGGAGTGAAAAATTTGCTTCGACGCTGAAAAGAAATTTGTTCGAAAAATCGCCGTCTACTGTTTGTTGTTCAATCCCCGAACCGACATATGTTCGGCGTCGTGAATGATCAGCTGGCATCAGTTGCTATGTGAACTGGACTTTACATGAGCTGTAGGTGTGAGTCCAAAAGCAAAATACCACATACTATACCCTGAGAAGGTGTCAGCTCTTGAGAACAACGAGAAACATGCACATTCCGGTATCCGACTACACTTTAAGGTGGAACGAGCAAAACGATGCCTCAGCATAGTCTTACAATTTCCTTAGCCGATCCAGTCTCTTAAAATTTTAGCAATGTCCTGTATAATTGGACGTTTATGGGCGCCATAATCTCCTCTCACGTTTCAATCATCCTGCCTGTTGCAGGTTTCAACAATTTTAACGCATAGTGGGGTTGCGAAGGGATCCATAAACATGTTTGGTTTGACGGTTAAGTTTGACAGATGTCAAAATACAACCCTGTACTTTTGAAGCCACGAAATGGATAACCCTATATTGTATATTTGCATGCATGTTTGGCATGTAAATATGTATAAGCAGCATTAGACCAATACCCGATTAAACAAAAAATTCATAGTTATAAGAGGATGGACATATGTACATTGATATAAATACATATCTAAAATAGGCCTACTTAAAAGAATTATACAGGAGCGATGGACGAAATATAATAATTTAATAATAATATGTAAAGCACTCGTTTCTTTCCTTAAGCGCACAATTTATTCATCTACATAACATTAGTAAATGAGCCAAGTAAATTCGATGTGTACCACTTTATGCATGCATACATATTTATCTATGTATATACATACATACATAAATACACACACATGTAAGTTACGCGGCTTACTGATTACAGATAACACATTTACATATACTGATATACATATCTGCTTTAAACATTATTATGCTTGGCACGAGCTCAAATCACATTGTCATCAAATCAGCTTTAAGCCAAACACTCCATAGACGTTACTAATGTACATATGTACAAATAAATATATTTACTGGTATACATATATAGATGTGTATATACTCGTATGACACACCTGTTCGAGATTCGCAAAACTGTTGGTGGCACTTGTATTTATTAATTCAAAACAGAGATTTCCTATTACGCGATCAGCTGATCGTTGTGTGCTTTAGAGAATGGTTTAAGTCATACCGTCGTCGCGACGTGTGTGACGACTAGAGCAAGTTGAATCATACACAAACCGGCATACATGTTGCATCCAATACTATGGTAGTGGTCAGTGCTCGGACGTTTGTTGCAGATCTACTGCAGTTTTTTCAAGCAATTTTAAACCAACTAAATACTGCCAAATGTTACTGATTTGCTACGCTTTAAATTTCGGAATTCTCAGAAGAGAAGTAGTACACAACTCGGGTTACATAAGCAAACTGAAGGTTTTGGAAGAATTAAAGAAAATCCACCTCTTTAAACATATTAATATATGCCACTTTTTGTTAATTGTTAACTAAACGACGAATTTCTGAAAATAAACCTAATTAAGATTGAAAAAAGTTTCGTTTACAAGAACAAAGCACACACAATTGACCAACCAAAACCATTATTCATAAAAATAAATAATAAAAATAAAGCATAAATATATATTATAAAAATATATCATTCCTTCTGTTGTGTGTTTCCAAAAATGTTTACTGTTATCAATTACGGAAATCAGTGATTTCCCTAATTGGTGAGTTTATCAAACCAAAGGAAAAGAATTGATGCCAACCACAACTCCATAAGACCATAAAACCATTTTATTCGTAAAAAAGTCCTACCAATGATATGAGGTTAAAGATAATTTAACCAGCTTTTGTTGAAAAGGTTGAAAGCTTCTCCTTTTGTTTTTTTTTTTAATTTGCTGACATTTTGATTTTGTTCTCCAGATGTTTTGTAAAAATGATATTGAAATTGAGTGACACAGAACATACGAAAGGAGGGTTAGATTTTATTCATTTGTTAATAAAGTTCGATGGATAACCGCAATTTCGCCCGCGTCATACTTACAGAAGAACATAATCAATAAGGGTACGAAACTACAAACTTCATAGAGCCAAACTTGACCCAAACATTTCTTATTAGGCTTAATTTGCCTTAATTTCAATGAGTGACAATAATCCAACGTCAACACAACCGGCGAAATTATATTCTATAAGAATGGTCGTAGTTTGACTAAAATATCTTCTGGAAGCGAAATGTGTGGTGGTAGTGAGGAAGTGCCGGAGATGGCAAATTCAAAAGTTCTCCCTTTCAGACGAAATGGTACTTCATCTACTTCTCGAAAAGAAATTATCAAACTGTTCTTCAGTCGAGAGTTGTCAATATACGTACCTGTCGCAGACGTAATGATAATCACAGCTGTAAAATCAAAGCAACCAAGTCCGTACAGGCTATCTCTTCACAACTTTAAAGCAGCCTAAAATTTGTCTACGCTTATACCATGGAAAAAGACAACTAGCATGCATGTGCATTGATAATCATAAAAGCGATACCCAGAACGCTCTAGGCGAAATTTGCCCTTAAATCTTTCAATTTTCGTACTCAGAACATTAGAGGGGTATACAATAAGCTTTATCACTTTAAACAGCGATTATGAGGTCCGAAACTTAAATAAATGGCCTAGTTTTTTTTTCAAATGCTAGTCAATAATAAGGAATCCTTTCTTCAAGTCTTCCAACCAGTTAATGAAACAAAGAGTGGCAAAAAAGCACTTCCCTCCACTTTCCACTAGAATAGTATACGACAGGTCGTTTAGCTTGTGCCAATTTAGTCTACGTCGTCGAGACCAACCAACGCAAGATCCAGGAAACATCCTGCTTCGATGGGTTCGAGCGGTGTTAGATGAGTCGGTTTTACTGGGCATGTACATAGGCTAAGTATGTTGAGATCAAGTCTGGATACCTTAATTGTTCCCATATCACTCGATACTTGCAAGACAGCTCGTGGTTTTCGTCTAATACGAGTGGTGATTGAATTTCGAGCACGCAATTCAATTAAATAGAATTTATGGCCTAACGGTATGTATTTATGTTCGGCAGTTGTATTTTATGGTGCTCAAGGTATCACTTTAGATCGAGTATTCTCTTTTTGTTGTACCTAGAGAGGTTTGTAATTCTGTAAACAGCATTACATTATGCTTTTTAATTGGAAGCATAGATGCTTCCCAGTGTGAGTGGTACGTAGCCGATTGATTCGAAGGTTGCGAGCATTGCTTTGTGGCTGAAAAATGGAGATAGCAGTCTAGCTTCGAACAAGTTTGGGCAGTCATCTGAGATTAGGGAAACTCACTCTGGTTGTGGAGAGAGCTGCGAAATATAAAAATAAGCAAAAGTGGGCAGAGGTCTCAGTGAAACCCTTGCTAAATTTTTCGCCACGAAATTCTGTCCGATAGTAGCATGATGATCCTAAAGATGGCCGGTTCATTGTCATTCCCTCTCGAGGGGCGACCGCAATTAGAAAATATAACGTAATTTTTTATTTAAATCAATTTTCTATAACTTTTGACGTTGGACGCACCATTTACCGACCATAATTTTTTAGTATCTGCAGTAATGATGTAAGTTTTGTCTATCTTTGTTTCTGAATCATACAGGACATACGTTGAACATATTGGAGACAATTCTTTTTATGTAGGAAATGAGCCTCCTACAGTATCCAGATCTTAATTATGTCTGTATTACTCCAAAATTCTATTTTGATGGCTGGTTGTGGTCAGGTTTCGAAACCATGACTACACGGTTAGCATCACATGCTTTTAACCACTCCGCTGTAGCAACTACCGACCTTAGAACTGGCCCTTCAAAACCAATTACTGATCATAAGTTCCTGGTATGTGTAGTAATGATGTAAGTTTCGCCTTTCTTTAGACCCAAATTTCTCAGCACTGCCAAGCCGCTCTCACTCAAACAAGCTCGATACAATTATGTTCGAGTTGGAATGCAACTAAAAGAGCAGAATAGTTATTAATGTACATATGTATGTGTGCAAGGGGCTTAGCAAATCGCCACTGGGGCTCAAAACCACAGCTTTGACACAAAATGCGCTTAGCAAAGTTTGCAGTTTGTTTGCTATGATCAAAGCGAGCGGTTGTCCGGTATCTCTAGGAAAAATTGCGGTTTACGTTCAAAGCGCAATGATAGAAACCTGTGAAAATAAGCAACAAAGAAAAAATCTATTACAATAAATAAGCATTGCATTTTACAACAGCGAATTTAAAGGAAAAGCAAATGTGAATGTGCATTATATATGTATGTACATATATGTGTGTGTGTGTTTATGTATATGTATGTATGTGGCAGAGTTTTAGTGTAGCAAAATTAATAGCTTTCAAATTTGTGGCCTAATTAACGGTAAAGCGAATGCAATACGCCAATGCAAATGTGGCTGCTCGCCCGTGAAGCGCGCGCGGAAAGTATTTGAAATTAGTACAAATCATTTGAATATTTACTGTGTTGGAGCGCGGAAATTAAACATTGAGAAATTTAATGGAGAAGTGCATTTCCTACTCAAAACCAACACACGCACATACGTCTATATATAATGAAAAAATAAAAGTAATTGATTATAATCAAAAAATTATAGTGCATGAAAATTTGAACGATAAAAACAAAGTATTTCCATATGCTCGTATAATACAACGGTAATTCACTTATAGCTACAAAGTCAGTAGGCGGAATTTACAATATACATACATACATACATACAGACGTGTGTGCTTAAGTAGGAAGTAAGAAAAAATTAAGTGCGAAACTAAACAAAATTTTGTAAATATCTTCTTTTCATAACAAACGAAATAAATCACTAAGCCAGTAGAAAAGTAGTCAAGGAAAGTGAAAACCGCAGCGACAGTAGCTGTAATAGTAGCAGAAAAAAGTTCAGAAAAAAGTGCAAGTAACCGCAGGCAATCGCCCACTTTTTACACACACACACATACGCGTATTCGCAGAGACGTTCCCGCGCCGCTGTGACGATTGCGTGCCGCGCATGCGCAGTACTTTGTTCAACTATTTTTGCTTTTCAAAAATATTTCTGCAACAAAATACGATTTGGCCATACATCGTGCTAATTTTTCACTATTTACGCGTATTGTGCGATTGTTGTTGCTGTTGTTGTTGTTGTTGGTGTTGCTGCTGCTGCTGCTGCTTCTATTTTTGTTTATTCATACAATTTTCCTCAATATTTGTTCGCTTGTGACGACGTCTTGTGCAACAGCTAGCTCTGCGCATTTTTGGGCGGAGTGCTTGCTGCAAAGCCGAGTTTCTCAAAATATACCTACAAACGAAATATTTCTTCAGACCATAAGAAAAAATATAAGAAAAACTAATAAAAAAAAAGAAAAATAATATAAACAAAAAAAAACGCAAGGCAACAGCGACGACGATGCTGAAAAGTGAAAATACTAGTTATCGAATTGTTGGTATATGGCCGCTGTCATTTGCCTTTTTACTAACACTACACCTGCTCGCCGGCACCACAGATGCCTTCACCATACTCTCGCCATTCAGTTACACCTCGTTGAGCTTCAAGAATCTGCTTAACTCGGTGTTTCTGGCGAGCAATGCAAACTTGGCGGGCGGTGGTCGAAATCTCAAATCAGATGTGCTGGAGGATGCGTCGCTGATAACGGTATGTATTGGAAACGAAAATTAGACAAACTGCTTTTCACTCAGATCTGGACCCTAAACCAGTGGTGATTTTTATGTGTTTAAAAATTGAAAAAAAAAAATAATAATAATTAAATGGAAGTTAATTTTCGGAAGAGAAGGAGATGGAGGGCAAGAGTCGAATACCAAAATAAAATTTTTTCAAGAACTTAGGAAGACTATTGTCTCATGTGCTCAGATTAAGTGAGGTTATATGTTAAGAAAAGTAGAACTGTTGAAAATAAGTACGTTTCCTTATTTCCCAATAAACCTTTCCTTTACCTGGCATAGTCATTCATTCGTGTACATAGAAATATCAGAAAAGTGCCCTCATAGTTTGATTGTTCCTGAAAGTTTCTTTTATAGCCGTTTGTGTCCTAAAATGAAGCATAATAATCCTTATAAGAGCTTTTGGTAGAAACTTTTCTAGTATTTCTATATTAGACGCTGCAGCCAAGCAACATAGGTTAGGTTGTGGTGCCTATCGATCTACCGAGGCGTTCGGTAAGACTCATTGTGATGTTACAAAAACTTGACCATCAGGCTTCATGATCCAACCATTACTAGTAAACCTCATTAGATCCATGAGTTTGACGTCATCATCCAATGGCGTGGGCTATTTTCGATTGACTATCCATCAATAGGTTTCCGAAATTATAAAACCATGCCTTTTCAAAGCAGTACAGTCGCCTAAATGATGTGTGATCGTTTCCTCCTCCCCATCGTCCTTCCAGTTTCAGCGACATCTTCTAAAGTAAATCCTTGGTCTTCCTATCAGATAATGACCTGTCAGAACTTCTTTTACTTTAGACATATCCCATCTTTTTAAGGAGTACGTATCTCATGATCTCCTCTTAAACCATTTCGGCCAGCTATGCCTACGCGGCTTATTCATATGTAAGTTTCCTGAGAAGCAGTTTGAAAGTGGCAAAATAGATTTCAATACATTCTTTGCAGAGAAGAATTTTCCTAGCTTTTCCGCCTGGACAGTTTACCTAGATGTCCCTACGACATGGGACCCAGGCGAGAGACAGTCACCTCCTCTGGAGATCATCGACTTTCCAGCACAAAATTAGTATTTAGAATAAGTGAGCCCAGTGCGGTCTGTCGCAGACAATTCAGATATCCTTATCTTTAAAGCTGGATTCATTTTGCTCTGAGGCCTCCATGATTGCAGATATCTCCGCCTGGAAAACAGTGCAATGGTTAGGTAGCCAGAAAGAGGCTTCCGTCTGAGACTTCACTGAGAAGGCATCTGCGCCAGTTATCCACTCTAGCTTTGATCCATTCGTTAGGAAATTATTATTCCATTCTCTGCTGGCGGGAATTTGTCTTCTGCAATAATTTTTTGATAATTTTCTGATAATATAATGGAACCGATTAGTAAATCTTGGTATGAAATCGTATTTATCCAATATAATTGAGTTCCCCCATAGCTGAGTGATTGATTTGACTCTCCTAGACGAAGTGCAGGCGACTGATAGGCCATGCAGTACTAGTGGGTTGAGAGCGGGGACCTCATATCTTTTTGTGAATAGTCCGAGTGTTCCACCTTGTTTGAGTTGACACAGAGGCCACATTTGGTAGTCCAGGAAGAGGCTTTTCTTAGTGTTCCTTGCCTTAAATCACAAAGGGTTTATGGAAACTTCCCTCCGTATGCAATAGCGATGTCATCGACGCAGGCAATTACTTTGCCTCCAACCCATTCCGTTTGCTTTGGTAACGAGTTTACTGTCCGGAGCAATGGATATCTGGATACTTAAGCGCGAGCCTGGCGCTTATAACCCTGCTTAGTAGCAGCTGGTTGATGAACTTCACAAATGGCTTGTCGACATCTAAATGTAGAAATGCAGCTGTAACTGCGCTAGGTAAGATCTTACTGAAAGCCCCTTCTATATTCAGGAAATTCCTCGTTGTAGAGAAGATTTTCAATGAAGGTAATTGCTAGGCGTACTGCTTATATGACAGTAGCCTCTTATCTGTGATTAGAGAGAGATAGTTAACTATGATTCGTTCTAGTGCTTTTAGCCCAAAAGAAGAAAGGCTTGTGGGCCTGAAGTCCTTAGTTTAACTTTGAGTGCCCTTATCTGTTTTGGGGATGAAGAGGACTGGTACCCGTCTCCATGTCTGTGGGATGTGATATTTTCATTGGTGATACGATTGGGTAGCAAACTGATCAAGCTATGATATGAGCCGACTTTGTGTGCAATTTTTATTGGTTCAGGAGACAATATTCCTTTAGTATGCTATGTGAATTTTTCGCGGTTGAACACTAAAAGAGGCAGAGAGAGAGAGAGAGAGAGAGAGAGAGAGAGAGAGAGAGNCCAGAGGGAGAGGGAGAGGGAGAGGGAGAGGGAGAGGGAGAGAGGGAGATTTTATACAAAATTAAAGCTCTCAGCAAATATTGAATTTCGTTAATGACATCTTCGGAGCTAAAAGAGAGTCAAAATCAACTATTTTCTAGGCTATTGGACATCTTAAACGATGTTTCCGATAGGATTAATTTCTAGGAAATTTCTACTTTCGTCGAAGACAAGCCAAATTTTCTGCTTTGGCATTAAGCTTACATGTGAAAAGCGAAATCATTAGAACATATTGACTTTGACCTAATTCCAACCCTTACAAGTCTTTATATATAACTTTTTATTTATACAATTCTTTTATTCGTTTAAATGTTTATTTACCAAAAGTCGTACACAATATGCCATTAGTTGTTTGATTCACACTTTATTGCTAATGAGTTTTTCCAACAAATCTTAGAAGTTGAAAAGCAGCAATAAAACCTTCAAATACCAATGACCCATATCAGCTACCCGTAGACAAACATATGTATAAATACTTATTTTATTTTGCCTTCATTTTATAAACGTGGAAAAGAGTTAAGCTTCTCAACGGTTTTTAAAGCCATGCCACCACTGGTCATTAGCACAATTGTTATTCTTTTGCTGCAGCTTAGAGAGCAGCACTAATGCATATATACATATGTATATATATGTGGTATGTATGTATGTGCATTCATAACATAATAAACGTATTAGACACGAAATGTCATTCAACTCTATACCGAGTCTATTTCATCTCTAGAAGCGTTTACTTTTTCTGTTTTTTATTGTGTTCTCCGCTTTCAACTCTCTGCCTCTTTGTGCGGCACCCATTTTCCCAACTTTCCACATAGTTGCTTTTGCTACAGTTTTATCTTTTCCATACATTTTTGCCTCTCAGCTCAGTGCAAGTACTTTGAGTGAACTATTTATTTAGAGGAAAACGTTTTTTAGTTAAAAAAATCATAAAAAAAACTCGTAGTTGAAGGCAGAGGACCACGTTTTAGAGTGCATTTGTATTGAAATCTTCAATTCCTCAGCTTTATCTCTCAGCGAATCTGTCTCCTCTTTTACGACGTACCCAGATCTACTCCCCCGCTAAGTAGGTTTTTGGGAGGTCCTACTCTCCTATCTTTACGAGCCGGACATAGACGAACGTGTGCGACAATTAAAACGAAATCCATGTGCGTTCGTTAAGGAACCTCGGCAATCGGCAAGCTTCGATCGATACTTAAGACAATTGAGCCTTGGATTTTTAGACCAGTAGTACATACTGTCTAAAATAAAGTTTCAAATTATAAGCCCAAAGCGATGTTCGGTAATCGTCGAAATACAAAAGACTTAAGATTTAAAAGCATACCAAGGGAAGTGTGGGATGATCGAGGATCAGTCAAATAAAGTGGAGCGAGAACAAAACCAACTTAGGATGAACAAAGGAGCTACATAGAAGAGTTGTGTTACCATATCGTAGGTTTTATAACATTCATAACAATACCAAATTTATTTTATTGCATTTTAGGATTAAATTTTAATTCTTCTATCTGAAAACCGATGCTTCTCAGTTTCAGAACCTTTTTTAACTGATTTTTAACTTAAAATCACGTATGCTAACAAATCGACTGTTCGGGGTCTATAGATTATAAAGGTATCTCTACACTCCTACTCTGAATCCTTGCGGTTAATGGATTCCTGAAGAAGAGTCAGTCATTGTGCACGGCTGTTGTTTGGCAACTCTCGAATAACTAGCAATTAGAATCATCAACAACTGAGCTATTTCAGCCGGACTTACGAATAATACCGATAAAACAGATATGCTTCTATTGACAGAGAAATTCAAAGGCCCCAGCTTGGACCAAGTCAAAGCTAGCACCCGGGAATTGTATTGGATAGCAAGCTATCAAATCGGTAGTAAAGACTCAATCTAGAGGAGCGAGTGAAGAAGGCTTCAGCGGCCCTCTCTACCGGTTACAGGATGTTGGACTGCACTTGGAATCTCTCCCTCGTTACCTCTCACTGGATCTTCGTAGCAATCGCTAAGTCGGAACGGAACTTTAGTATGATGAAATGATGTGAAAAAAAATAATATACCTGGCTAGGCTAAAAAGAGTACTCAGGCTTTTAATGATCAGCTTCACTGCGGCACTCTAAACAACACCATCCGATGAGAAATATGCGATTTTAACCATTTTACCAGCAAACCTAGTCCAGCAGAGCATTCCCAACTGTTGGGATGATGTATACTTCCAGCTGAAGTTCAGGACTTACGGTCACAGCAGTATGTCTTAACACCTGAGCATACGAATAGACTCCGCAATTCTGCATTTGACTTTCGGTCATAGCTGGAGCAAAGGCGTGAGTGGGTGTCTAGTTTACTGTGCCCAACCAGAAATAAGAAAGTCATATTGGTAGCTACTAATGCGGTATTGTGCAAGCCTGAAAAATTCGCTATTAAAATGCCGGCAGAGCTGTGGCAGTGGACTGGCTGTCCAAGGAAAATAATACACATTTATTTGGTTAGCCCAGCCACCATAATAACCATAATTTCATACAGCACGAAGTCAGCTGTGTAAAGAGACGATCCAAGTACCGTCCGAAAATAGAAAAGTTTACATTTCCTGGGTACCAGGTTGCATGGCCATTAAAGGTAATGAGATAGCAGTCG